TTTTCTTTTTTTTTTTTTTTTTTTGAGACGGAGTCTCACTCTTGTTACCCAGGCTGGAGTGCAATGGCGCGATCTCGGCTCACCGCAACCTCCGCCTCCTGGGTTGAGGCAATTCTCCTGCCTCAGCCTCCTGAGTAGCTGGGACTACAGGCACGCGCCACCACGCCCAGCTAATTTTTTGTATTTTTAGTAGAGACGGGGTTTCACCATGTTGACCAGGATGGTCTCGATCTCTTGACCTCGTTATCCACCCGCCTCGGCCTCCCAAAGTGCTGGGATTACAGGCTTGAGCCACCGCGCCCGGCCTGCTTTTTTCTTCTTTCCATCTACTTTGGGGTGCATGATTTTAAATGTCCTTGTCATTTTTCTCTTCTTGCCTAGTCGTAATCTATTTTACTAGTCTCCTGGTGTATTGAGGTTATTGCAGTTTCCTACCGTACTAAATGACTCCTTACAACCCCATAATTTGATGATTGATGGGCTGTGGGAGAATTCATCTTTTAAATTTACTCATATGTTTTTTGGAAAATCAAAAGCAGGTCAGATTCTATCGGCTCATTAGTATTTACTGAAACTCTTGTCTGTTCGGTGCTATGCCTTTTCCTGCCTCAGGAAACTGATCCCCATTTGAGGAGAGGAGGTCAGTTAATGCTGTAGGAGGGCTTGTTATTAGTCTTTTATTGTTGTTGTTGTTGTTGTTTTTTGAGACGGAGTCTTACTCTGTCGCCCAGGCTGGAGTACAGCGGAATAATCTTGGCTCACTGCAACCTCTGCCTTCTGGGTTCAAGCAATTCTCCTGCCTCAGCCTCCCGAGTAGCTGGGATTACAGGCACACACACCATCACGCCTCACTAATTTTTATATTTTTAGTGGAGATGGGGTTTCACCATGTTGGCCAGGCTGGTCTCAAACTCCAGACCTCAGGTGATCTGCCCACCTTCGTCTCCCAAAGTGCTGGGATTACTGCTGTGAGCCAGTGAGTCCTGCCTTGTTACTAGTCTTAACTAGATTGAAATCCTTAAGCCCAGAATTGTATGTGAAGGAAACAGACGGTGGACGGGAGTGGCTCAGGCATTCTTGAGCTGAGGAAGTGTAGGAGTGGAGGCGTGTAAGTTACCTGTTTTCGGGTGTTCATTCCAGTTGATAGTGGATGCTACTCCCTGGCAGACACTTTGGGGCACCTCACCTGAAAGACCCCTGTTTCCCTGAAGGCGTTGTCAGGTGTATTTTTTCTTTATAAACTTAATGCCAGTGGAGTGGGTAAGGCAGGTACCTACCACCATTTACATCTGCTGCTACAGATTAGCTAGCTTGGTTAAGTTTTGTTTAGTTTTTTTGAGATGGAGTCTCTCTCTGTAGCCCAGGCCTCAAGCAGTTATCCTACCTCAGCCTCCCAAGTAGCTGGGATTACAGGCACGAGCCACCATGCCCAGCTAATTTTTGTTGTTTTTTGTTTGTTTGTTTTTTAGTAGAGATGGGGTTTCACTATGTTGGCCAGTCTGGTCTTGAACTGCTGACCTCATAGCCTCCCAAAGTGCTGGGATTATAGGCAGGAGCCACCGCTGTTTTGTTTTTAATTGTTATGAGTTAGTTTGAATCAAAAGTGACATTAAGTGGAGTGCAAGAAGCACTGAATAACTGTTGTTATTTGAGAGGAGTAATAAACACCAGGGCCACTAGGATTTGTGGACTTTCCATTTAGAACATTGTCATTAATGTGTATCTGCATCTCTGTATTCCAGCTTTCACATTTTCAACTCCTAGGGGAGAGAATTTGATTGGCCTGGCTGGGGCCATGTGCCTACTTCTGGCTGTCACCTGTGGCTAGGCGGCTAGTACCTGTTACAGACTGGGCCTTCCTTGTGGAAGGGGTCTTCCTTCCCAGTTGTCAGCCACAGGCCCAAGATAAGTAAATTAATTTGCTGAATGTCAGAAGTTACATGAAGAGTTGGCAGTAAGTAGTTCTGCCGGTACGCACAGGCACAAAGGGCCTCTTTTCTTGGCCCCCAGTGCACTGGACTCTGTTGGGTCAAGAAAATGAAGGCAGTTTACCCACTCAGAGCCCAGACCTTTTCTCCCTCCAGTTGTAGACCACACTCTGGATACCTGGGACCCTTCAAATCTGCCCAGACAACCCCAAGCTTCTCAGGATTTTTTGTGAGCTGCTTCCCTGTTCTGCCTGTGCAGTGCCAGCCTTGTCACAGTGTCTGAATGCTTAGGCCAGAGGTGTGGGGGTTTGGTGAGAAAGGGTGAGCTGGCTAGCCACACTCAAGGGCAGAGCCACCAGCATTGTGGGACAGCCAGGTATGGGAAGATAAGTGGGCACGGATTGGGGCCAGCTTTCCTGATGTGCCTTATTCTGGCACAGAACTCCTAAGGAGTGTGATAATTTCAAATTTGATTCAGGCCTTCCAGGTGGTTATGAAGAAGGTATATTTGTCAAGACAAGATAGTACAATATACTTCATTTAATAGCTTATTAGTGTGATTTATAGCTAAATATGTAGACATGATATGTAGGGCTTCATTCATAATTCTTGCCCCGGGCCCTAAAAATGTTAGCTATAGGCAAGACCTGCCTGGTACTGACACTCTAAAACACAACCCTCAACCCCGACTCCATTTCATATAGTAGCCTAACATAGCAGTTGGTTCATTGCTTATAGTCAGGCAAACAACAAAGACTGTAAATTGAGCTCTTGGTAATTTTTGAAACCTGCCTGGTGAGACGTTTTTTCCTCATTCTGATGGCATTCCCAAACCATATTGCAAATGGCTTGATCTGTATTTTAAAACTTGTTAAGAAGGGCCTGGCAGGGGCCGGGCGCGGTGGCTCAAGCCTGTAATCCCAGCACTTTGGGAGGCGGAGGCGGGTGGATCACGAGGTCAAGAGATCGAGACCATCCTGGTCAACATGGTGAAACCCCGTCTCTACTAAAAATACAAAAAATCAGCTGGGCATGGTGGCGCGTGCCTGTAATCCCAGCTACTCAGGAGGCTGAGGCAGGAGAATTGCCTGAACCCAGGAGGCGGAGGTTGCGGTGAGCCGAGATCGCGCCATTGCACTCCAGCCTGGGTAACAAGAGTGAAACTCCGTCTCAAAAAAAAAAAAA